GGCGGGGCTGAACCTATGAACCATGAGATCATGACCTGAGCTGAAATCAAGAGTTGGACACTCACCTGACTGAGCCACCCAGGTTCCCCTTCTTATTACCTTCTGAGGGCCACTGAGCTGTACGTCCAATAAACCATATACAGATTTGCATGCTGAAAACTACAAAATGCTGACAACCCCCCCAAATCTAAATAAATGAAGAGGGGTGTGGTCACAGACTGTAAGATAACATAGTAAAGATGTCAGCTCTCTCCAATTTGATAAACATGCTGAACACAATTCCTACCAAAATCCCAACAAAGCAGAGAAGATCATTCTCAAACTTAAATGGAAAGGCAAAGGAACTAGAATAGCTAAAACAATTTTGAAAAAGAATCCAGCAGGAGGTATCAGTTATTTCAGGACTTCTCACCTCTAGCAATCAAGACCACGTGATGGTAGAGGGATAGACTTGTGGATCAATGGAGCCGAATAGAGGATCCAGAAATAGCCTCAGCCAACTATGGCCAGCTGACTTTTGACAAAAGCAATTCCATGGAGAAAACACAGTCTTTTCAACAAACAGTGCTGGAGGAATTGGATATCCGTAAGGAAAAAAAAAAAGACCTTTGAGCTAAATCTCACACCTTATGCAAAAATTAGCTTGACAAGAATCATGGACTTCAATGTAAAATTATAAAACTTTTCGGAAAAAAAAAAAAAAAAAACCCAAGGCGGAAATCTTTGGGATCTAGGACTAGCCAAAGAATCTCAGTCATGACAGCAAGAGCACAATCCATACAAGAACACAATGGATACCCTGGACTTTTTTTTTTTTTTTCTTAACGTTCATTTACTTACTTATGAAAGAGTGAGCGAGCGAGCATAAGCAGGGGAGGGACACAACGGGAGGGGGAGGCACAGAATCCGAAGCAGGCTCCAGGCTCTGAGCTGTCAGCACAGAGCCTGTTGCAGGGCTCAAACTTACAAACTGTGAGATCGTGACCTGAGCCGAAACCAAGGGTTGGATGCTTAACCAACTGAGCCACCCAGACGCCCCTGTCAATTCTGGTTTTGATACTGCGCTGTATGTATGTAAGATCTAACCTGTGGGGCAAACTAGGTGGAAGGTACACAAGGCTTCTCTGTACTACCTTTGCAACATCCTATGAATTTGGAAGTATTTCAAAATGAAAGTTTAAAAGTTGGAGGAGAAGACTAAAAGAAAGTAAATTCCATTCCTTAGAGGAAGCTGAAACGGGCCCCCTTAGACTCTCCACATGGGTCCTAACTCTTTCCTGGGGAGCCCCCAACCATACGTGCTCAGAGATTTGCAGACAGTGAATCTGTATCCCAATTCTGTTCTAGCTGCACAGCCCAAAGCACTTCCCCCATCCCTTGCCAAATCTTTTCAAACCAGTACTGGTCTGAGCCCGGAGAAATGCTCTTGAAGACATGAGCATCACTATTAATAATGAAGCTGGGGCCACAGGTATAAACCACAACTGTCCCCAGCACACTCGGGCATGCAGTCACAGACAGTGGATGCTGGGCCAACAGGAGGTCAATTCTGTGGCCTGGCCTGGGTCTTGGCCTCTACACTCTGCTGTGGGCCTGGCCCAGAAAGTCCTGGGTGCCAGCTACTCCCTTGGTCGGAGCCAGTCTCTCTGCCTGACTTGTGAGGGGTCAGTCCAGGGTTTACAGAGCCCTCAGGGGCAGAGACCCTGGGCAGGCATCCCACCCTAGCCCTCATTTCCAGGAGGGGCCAGCTGAGGGTGAAAGGGGAAGGGACCAGTTCAGTTCACATAAAAGGACCAGAAGACCCAGCAACTTTTTTAGTCAGATGGCAACTCCCAATACCGTCAGCCCCAACTTCCCATTTCAAGCCCACAAAAGAATCCATGTAAATAAACACTGCTATGAAAGGAGAAGCCTGGGGGCGCCTGGGTGGCGCAGTCGGTTAAGCATCCGACT